GGCACTTTCACCGGCCCCCCAAAGCCCTGCTCACGCCGCCTGCTCACCCCTGGCTGATCTTCAGTGTCTCCAGACCTGTGCCTTCTCCAGAAGGTCAGAGACTTGGGATCCTGCAGGTGCAGCCTTCTCAGACTGGCGGCGGTCCCCGAGAGCTGGGAATTCAGGGCCTCCACATCTTCCCGTGGCGTGATCCGCTCATTCTGCTTTCGTGCTGCTAGGATTCCCTTGTCTGGACGGCACAGTGTGCTATCTGTTCGCTCGCTGAAGGATGTCATGTGCGTCCGAGTTTGGGCAATTATAAAGCTGCCGTCAACACCCACGCGCGGGTTTTCGTGTGGACACGAATTCTCAGCTCCTTTGGGTAAAGACCAAGGGGCGTGACCGCCCGCGTGGACAGCAAGAGGGTGCTGTTTTGTCAGAAACTCCCTGAGCGTCCTGCAAAGCGGCGGCCCCATTCGGCATTCCCTCCAACGGGTAGAGCTCCTGGTGCCTCTGGGGTTTTATTTATTTTTTGCCATGACAGTGTCTTTCCTGCACAGAAGCAGCCCTTCCTGGTCGCAAGGAACCCTGGGGGACCGTGACCCTGGTGGCTGACCTCCAGCTCCAAGGGCCGCACCGCGAGCTCTCCTTACTTGGGGCTCCGGGGGGTGTTTGGGGGGGGTGGTCAGAGGACACAGAAGCGGACGGCCACCGGCCACCAGCCAGGGAAACTGGAAAAGCAGGTTGGCCGAGGGCTGGAAAGCAGGACCTCAGGCTCTGGTTTGGCTTTGAGACAGAAACCACCGCACAGGGCTGGCAGGCTCCCACTGAGCGGCTGCCGCCGGCCTTGGCGCATGAGGGGCACGCCCTGGAGTCGGGGCTCTGCTGCCCCGCTTGCTCAGGAAGGAGGGGCAGCACCATCCCGCCCGCTCCCACCGGGGTCCCTCCACTGGAAGGTGGCTCCTGGGCAGGGAGACGGTTCTCCTGCTTGGCCGAGTCCCGTGGAAGAGCAGGGCCACTGTTCCCGGGGTGGGAGGTGCCGGCTGGCTCAGGGGTCTCCAAGAGTGGACAGGGGGGCCCGTGCTGGGAGCCAAACCTTATCCAAGCTGATGCTTGCTGGACACCTGCTGACCGTCCCACGGTGACCCTGCAGGGCACAGGTGCTCAGCCAGGACTGGGGCAGGCTGGGGCGCCCATGGGGGTGCTGGGTGTTCAGCCCCCCCTGCACGCTGACCACAGGGAGCCGGCTCCTACGTGCCCCCTGCTTGCCCCTGCTTAATCTCTTGGACAGACGTTGCCAGCTTTGGAATAAATCAGGACTCAAAAGAGATCTAGTTAGGCTCTGCTCCCATGGAGCTCACGGTCTCGTAGGAAAGGCAGGTAACAATGCTCCTCTGACCCAGAATGTTTAGTCAAGCTCTAGACGTCCCTTCTAGGGGACAGGGGACACGACACACAGGGGTGAAGGAGAAAGTGACCGTGGGACCTGCTGTGAGGCAACTCGCCTGAATTGTGCAGAAAACTGGCGTAAGGAGAAAAGGCCAAGGACTCTCCCACTGAAGAGAGACGATAGAGACACGACAAGCAGACACTAAGTGTGACCCTGGCTGGGTCTGGGGCTGAGTGAAGTTACGGGAGGCGGCAGGACATCAGGACGTGAGGGAGCACGGTGTGGAACCCGGCTCACCTTGCTGCGCACGTAAGGGAACGTTTTTGTTTTTCCAAGATGCACTCTGAGATGTTTGTCTGCAACTGACTCCCCAGAGTTGGCACCCACTAAACCCGCGTGTGCATACAAGGTGCAGCTGTGTGGGAAGACGGACAGAGCCCGGCAGGCTGGCGAAATGTCGACCATCAGCAAACCCCAGGGGTTGTGCGGGCGCTCCCTGTTTGCAAAGGCTCAAGTGTTTTTAAGTAAAACACTGGAAAATTGGGGCGTCTGGGTGGCTCAGTCGTTAGGCGTCTGCCTTCGGCTCGGGTCATGGTCCCAGGGTCCTGGGAGCGAGACCCGCATTGGGCTCCCTGCTCGGCGGGAAGCCTGCTTCTCCCTCTCCCACTGCCCCTGCTTGTGTTCCCTCTCTCACTGTGTCTCTGTCAAATAAATAAATAAAATCTTTAAAAAAAAAAACAAACCACGAAAATGATCACTATCGAGTTGTCTGTGATCAGCCACGATGGGGACCATGGAAGCAGCCACGGGGGGGAGTGGCAGCCACTTGTTCTGGAAGCAGAGGGCTCCCTGGGGCAGGGGCGGGTCAGCTGAGGCCTGCATCGGGTAGGATGTGAAGGAGCTGCAAATCCCCAGGGGCGGCCAGTGTGGCAGGTGCAGGGCGGGGGGCGGCAGGTCAGGTGGGCCTTGGGCCCAATGGGGAATGATCCTAGGGGCCCCAGGGGCCACCTGCACCCACCCCCGTCTGGAAGCAGCTGTTCCCTCCATTAGGGAGCACTCCCGACCCCACCCTGGTCGCGGAGCCCCCTAGCTGGGCCAACTGAGCCACCCCACCAGGGAACAAGGTCAAGACCTTCCGGTGGCGTCAGCGAGAGCAGGGCTTGGAGGTTCTGGACAGTGAGGCTCTCCAAGGGGCCAGGTTGGTCATTCTGGGGCTGTGTCTGCCCGTGTCTGGCCGTCCCCAAGGCACTTGGCGGCTCTTCCAGGATGGCGGTCTTGAATCCTTTCCTCCCAGTGAGCAGGCTGGGGTCATTTGCAGCCTGAGCCATGGCGAATGCACATGGAAAGGGGGTGCAGAGGCTGGGAGGAGCGTCCCCGAATCCCACTCTCTACCCCAGCGTCACTGCAAGCCTTCTAGCTGACAGCCAATGATGGGGTGCAGCCCTGTGGCTCCACTCGCAGGTTCAAGACCACACTAAGCCAGTGTCTGGTGACAGTGGCAGAGGTGGCTGCAGGGGACAGCGATGGCTGCATGACCTCACAGAGCCTAGTGCACTTGGCATCCGGGCGATTCACTGCTTCTCAGCTTAAACAAACAGATCGGGCAAGTGGCTGATGACCCCCGACTAAAAAGGCATCCAAAGTCCCGGGCCCCTGAAACTTTTCCTTGATCCTGTCCAGAGCCCCCTCCGATGGTGGCTCTGATGTCCCAACACCTCCCTGTGGCCGGCCCAGCTTCGGAGGTGGTGGGGTGAGGGCCCCGGTGGGCAGGGGCCACGGGATCGGGGACATTCCTGCAACGTCTGGTAGCGTCTGGTCCTGGTCTCCATCCCCTTCCTCGTGCGGTCTGCTCCAGCAGCGGCCGCTCCTCAGGCCGGTTCTCTGGGGGCACCGTGCACTCACGGCTCCTGGGGGCGTGTCTGACCGCCGGCAGCTCACGGGGGGCCCATCTTGTCCCTCTGGACGTCCCTCTGACAGCAGCTCCGGCCCCACTTCTGACCCGAGTCACTTGGTTGAACTAAAGGGTTGCTCGCCCGGATGCGCTGCCACTTTTCTGGTCTCCGCACCTGGCGCGTCTTCATTCCTTCCGCCGCTTTGCAGTGTTCTTTTTCTAGTTCCTTCGGGTGGACAGAGGCATCAAGAGCTCTGGATCGCAGACATTTGTGGTTCTCCAACGTCCCTGTGACACTGCCCCTCTGAAGGCTGGGCGGGCTGTGTTTCATCTCAAGGTGCCTAATTTCACTCCAGATTCCTTCTTGGACCCCTTGGCTGTCGAATGGCTTAATTTAACCATGTATTCGTTACTGTTGTTCCACGTAATGTGACACATTGTTGCAGCGAAAGCCGTTAGTAACACCCAGCTTCCTTCCCTGTGGTCAGGGAAGGTGCCTGGCACCATCTGCATGGTTTTCATTTCTGTGCACGGGTCTTGTGGCCCCCAGCAGGTGCAGAGGCACGTGTTCTGCGGGCGGGTGGTGGCACATAGCAGAGGACATGACAGATGAGGCATAAGGTGGCAGCCCGAGAAGCCACCACTCCCCTTGAAGATCCAAATGTCACCGGTGCCTCCCCCTTCCCCAAATGCACCCCTGTGCCGCCCGTGCGTAAGTGCTGTGGGCAGTGAGTCCACGCCCGCGCCTTCCTCCTGAGCTGCAGCAGACGTGGGAGTCCCAGGAAATCCGAATTTGGTGTCGAGCTTTACTAAGACGGCATGGTCTTGTGGTAACTTCTGCACCTTGCTCTTTCACCCTGCGTTATTTGAGGGGCGCCGATGGCGCTGTCGGGGCTGTGGTCCCTGTCCCACTGCTATCATGTCTCGGCCTGGGTCCACCCTCCCGTGGGTGGACTTTTGAGCAGCTTGCACCCTTTGGCTCATCTCCAGATTTCTCCGTTCTGCCCAGCAGCACCCAGGACGATGTCCAGTGAGACCACAGCATGCATGGCACCCCCGCTTGGCCTCCACCTCCCCTCCAACCGCAGCCAGGCCATGGATGACGGACAGAGCTCTGGACAGGCCCCACTCGTCCCTGGGCCTCCCTGTCCCCCCAGGCACTGGGAGTGCGCTTCTGTCCCCTCAGCCAGAAACAGGCTGCAGAGACACTAAGGCCCACGTCTGGGTCCTAAGAGGTCAGTGGGTAAAGCCACCCAGGCCTGCTCGCACTGGACAACCCCCCCACCCCTGCCCAGCTTCTGGCACCCCACGGGCACTCCCCTTTCTCCACCACAGGCTCCTCAGGCTCTCCCGCTGGGCCAGGAAGAAAAGCCCAGCCAGGCAGCCGGTGCACAGCTGGAGGGGGGCCCTGCAGGCCCGGGAGCCCAGGGCCACCATCCCCGGGGCCTCCTGGAACTGCTGTCTGGCGTCAGCCAGGCCTTCAGCCCTGGTCCCTCCCGAGGCCCCTGGCTTGACAGCTGGCTCCCTGCCCCAGGCACACCCACGCGAGGTGACAGGGTGGCACATGTGTCTCCTGGCCCTGGTGACACTTCACAGAATAGTTCTCCCGCCAAAGCCAACTTGGAAAATTCCAGGGACAGGGAAATTTACCGTGAGGCGGGAATAGCCGGGTCTTGGCTGGGAACAGGGCCCCGCCCGTGTGGGGAAGACGGGCTGGGCGCGAAGGAGGGACTCAGCAGGCCCGCGTGAGGGAGTCCTTTAATCGAGACGGGCAGACAGGGGACATGACGCGGAGGCTCCTCCTCCCCCACCTGGCTTGGCCCCAGGGTGGGCACGGGAGACGCAGTTGTAAAAAACACAGCGGCACTGGTTCTTCACTTTCACGGAAAAGGGGACCTCGGAGGAGCTGCCCGTTGCAGAATGCGCACACAGAGCGGAGTCGCAGCACCCACCCCCCGCCGTCTGTACCCAGGAGGGGCCAGGAGCCCGCGGGGTCCCTGGCAGCACAGGAGGGACTGGCCATCCACACCTCCTAGTGTTCCTACGCTATGTACATCATTGTGCTTTAGAGCTCCCCACCCTGCAGCCTTAGCCTGAAGCCGCGGGTGGGAAGAGGGGTCCCGCTCCCACCGCGAGCTCAGACTCCGGACAGAGCAGCCCGGCTCCTCGCCAGTGAGCCAAGGGGTTGTTGAAACAGAAGGGTCAACGCTGGACAAGATGCAGGCTGGTGGGAGCAGGCAGGGCTGGAGGGACCAGGGGCGAGGCACGAGGTTGGGGCAGCAGGGGTTGTATGGATGGGGCAAAGCTGGGCTGGGGGGGATGGGGCTGAGCATCTCATCAAACACCATTCTGCAGCAGAGTGGGGGTCAGGGGGTCCACGCGCAGCCCCCTCCCCCCCAGCGCAGCTGCCTCCAGTGCTGGGGGGCGGGGGGGCCGGGGCAGACGCAGGTGGGGAGGGGCGGGGCACGGTGACATCTGCGGGCGTGTCCCCGCCGGCTGGGTGGGGTCTACAGGATCAGTTGTTCTCGAAGAGAGAGAGCAGGTCGTCATTGTTGTTTGTGGGGAGGTCAGGTGGGCCCAGGTAGGACAGCAGTTCCTCGGGGTTGGTCAGCTCTGGGAGCAGCTGGGGACAAAGCAAAGCCATCAGCAGCTCTGGCCTCGGACCCACCACGCCCCTACATGGGACCCTGACCCTCAGCCTGCACGGGGCCTCTCCCTGCCGAAGGCTCTCTTTGACCACGAATCACTCCACTCAAGTTGTCCAAGGCCAGCCCGGGACACGCGGTGCCGGCACGCCCGGGGCAGCACGGGGGCCCCGGTGCAAGCAGGGCAAATGCAGGTGGGATGTCCAGTGTCCGCGACTCGCTGCTTTTGAGCTGCTCTAACTTTTCTCATGATGAACTTCAGGGAGTTTGGTTTATCTGAGTCGACGAAGGTTACCTGCGTCTTACACGCTGAGTTTGGCTCACACAGCAAGGTGAGTCAGACAGGTCAGCCCACACCCCGAGCCGGTGTGGTCAGCTCCAAGCCCAGTCTTCTCGAGTGCTCGGCATAGGCCCCCAGAGCCAACCCCGAGGCTACGGCAGGTACCCGGCACTCATCACGAGGGCCGATGCTATCTGCCCAGCTCTCCTGGCTCTGGAAGTCACTGGGGCGTCAGCGTCCTCCCTTCTATGAAGCGTGTGGACCCTGGAGACGATGCACACGCCGTCCCCAGCCCCAGCTCCCACGTGCTCCCCAGCTTGGGGCCCGTACTCACGTCCAGGGCCGGTTCCGGGGCCTCCCCCGCCCCAGACATGGGGGGCCCCATCACGCCTGTGGCTGCGCTGAAGGCCAGCTCGCCGATGGGGCCCGAGCTCACTGGGCCCAGGGGCTGCCGGGATGCTGGGGGAGGGTTTGGATGGTGCAGCTGGGGCCCCGGGGGCCCCCCAAGGCTGGGGGCGTGCAGCCCCTGTGGCCCGGGGTTGTGGGCTGGGTCCAGGTGACCCGCTGGTGCCATCTGAGGAAGGAGAGAAGAACCAGGTCAAATGGACCTGGGCCTCCCTCCCAGGGAGCCGGCCCCCCACTCTCCGTCGGCACTGACCTGGCCTGGGAGGCAGGGGGCAGCCTTCTCTGGTGTCAGGAGGCTGCTGGGAAGGTCGGACTGGTAGGAGCTGGGGGGCGGCCCCGCGGTGAACTCAGGAAGGGCCGGGGTGCTGGGCGTGGTAGGCGGGAAGGAGTCAGGGAAGGTCCCGGGTCCCAGGAAGCTGGAACCTGAGAGCAGAGCCAGTGCTGGGTGAGGCCTGGGGGCTGGCGCTTGGCAGAATGGCCCCGGGAGGGGGGGGCTCCCAGTGCTCTCTGGCACGCAGCGCCGGACCTTACAGAGAAGGGCATCTCTTTTCATCATGGCCAGGGGAACGGGCCTCGCGACATTGCTCTGGGACCTGCCTCACCCAAACACACCCGCAGGTGGGGTCAGAGACGGCCAGGCCCCAGAAGCATGCTGACAGAAGGCCCTTGCTCCCCAGCGCCGGGGAGGGTGGGCCCAGCTACTGCCCACCCCACGGCCGCATCCCCAAGCAGGCCCCCCCAGGTACAGGACCCACGTGGTGACACTTCACTGGTCTGAAGAGAACGGACCGTTTGCTTAGGGCCATCCCCGTCTTGGGGCCAGGCCCGCTGTACTCACCCTGGCCGGGGTAGTCGCCAGGGGCCGGGGCCGAGGGGGGCTGCAGGGGGGCGAAGGGGGCAGCCCCGGGGCCCAGGGCCGCGATCATCTCCATGACGCTGGGCATGAGCACATGTGCAGGGCTCACGGTGCGGCAGCGTTTCAGCACAGGCCCGTCGGGCTCCTCCTTGACGTGCACGTCGGGCTTCACAGGCACCGGCTTCCAGCTGCACGTGGGGTCGATGGTGATCTCCTCGTAATCGGAGCTGCGCAGGGACACACGGGCTGCTCACCCGCCGTCCTGCCGCCTCTCCCAGCCCTGGGGCCGCCCAGCACGCTCCCCTGGCCGTGCGGGGTGGCTGTGGGTTCCGGCTGCGGCAGAGCAGGGCGCGTCCCCCAGCCGTTCCGGGGCTGCCAGCTGCCGACTGCAGACTGGGGTGACAGGAAGACACTTACTTCTGAATGTAAATGAGGATTCCCAGCATGTACTGATCCACCTCCAGCCCCTCCAGCAACGCCGTCTTGCTGTTGAAAATCAAGGGGACGGGGCTTGGAGGCCTGTCACCTCTCTGTTCTGTCACTGAGCCCGAGGCCAACCCGTGGGAAGTGACCGGTCATGAAGGAGACTGTGTGAGGTGACCCCATGACGCCTCTGCCCTGAGCTGCAGCATCCTCGTCTGTGCTGTGACCTCCTGAACCTGACTTGGGGTTTTCTTGGTGCTATGGGCCGGGGGGGGGGGGGGGGGGTTCTGAGGGGGCCCCCCCCCCCCCCCGTGCCCCGGGCCCCTGTGAGGACCGTCTCAGGGATACTCACTTGCACACGGGGCACCTCCAGGTCCCCCGCTCACAGTTGAGCTGTAGGTAGGACTCCAGGTCGAAGCACTGTGGGGAGCATGAGAGATGGCTTCTCACACGGGGGCCAGGGGCGACCTGGCCGCACCCCGCGATCAAGCTGCGTGCTTTGGGCTGATCTGCTCGCGTGTTGAGAAGCCACGTGTGCCAGGCTTCCCCTGGGGCGCCCCTAACAGATGCACCCTGGGGACAGCCCACACGGTCCTCACTGGGACCGGGATGCCACGTGGTCAAAGAATTGGGCATCTGTGCTGGTGAGGGCCCACCTCTAGGACACAGTGTCCGAGAAGACACCGCGGCAGAGCCGCAAGAACCACACATAAGACCAAAACCCGTCCGCGCACGGGATCTCTGAGGGGCCGCTCCTGGGGCAGGAGGGCCGCAACTGCAGCCTCATTGCCTTTCGAGATGAGAGCCCGAGAATGAAGGGGAGTGGTAACTGTCCTGGGAGATGGGGGAGGGCGTGGGGGAGCCTGGTTACCAACAACACAAAACAGCCGACAGAAGTCCTGGCAGAGCTCCACGGGGACCACCCACCTGGATGTGGCGGCAGTCGTGGCCGCGGGCGGGGAGCTGGATCCTGCGGAAGGTGATGGGGCACTTGAGGGACACCTTGATGGCCGTCTGCTCCACTCCGTCCTCGCCGTTGGGCCCAGGCGTGCCAGGGATGGTGCCACTGCTGAAGTTTCGCTTTACTGGTGTCGACAAGGGAGAGGACTGACTGAGGGGCCGCTGCCGGTGCCACAGCTCCGAGGCAGCGCGTGGGGCTCGCCGCTGTGCCCCACCCCTCCTTGCCCGGGGTCCCCGTCGCAGAGGAGACAGCCTCACTGGACGTGGGGCCGTGCTGGGTGGCGGCTGGGGCCACTCACTCTTGGTGATGCAGTGCTCGGCGGGCAGGAGGCGCTTCTTGAGAAGACCCTGCAGCACCGAGCGGACGGACGGCCGGTGCACGAGCTGCAGCACGAAGAGGTGGGACTGCGGCGGGAGGAGCCGGTCAGGGGCTGCGGCCTGGGAGCCCGTCCTGCCCTGGAGCACCCCGCCCCCAACGCTGCAGGCCAGCCCACGCCCACCCGGGGAGCCCACCGGCATCCGAGAGCCCCCTGCCCGTGTCCCGCCCACGGCATCCCCGTGAACCCCCGGAGCTGCCCGGGGCGGGCCCGGCCACCTCTCCTCGCCCCGCTGTGCCCGGGGCCCCAGCGACTGCCGGGAAGGCTTCGGGGACAGGCAGCCTGTGGGGCTCCCGAGCCTCCTCGCGGGAAGATGGGCTCAGCTGCTTCCCAGCACTGGGCCCCCGCGTGAGCGCCCTGTCTAGGTAAGCGGAGAGGCTGCTGGAAACGGTGGGGCCAGGAGAACAGATCGGA